ATACCGCATAATTCGTTATAGCATTAACGAAGATTCTTATAATGAAGTCTTGATCGGCTGGATCAGCAACTTCGTTATATCGAGGTGTGACTGTATAGAGTAAAAAAAATTATTGTATAATGATGATTAGTATATAAAAAAAATTAGTATAGCTAATTATAAATAAATATATATAGCTAGTTTATAGCTAGACTTTAATAAAATAATATCATAAAATTTATAATAAAATCAATATATAATGATAATATTAATTATAAAAGATTTAGTTTAAGAAAAAAATTCGTTATAAGCTAAAATTATTTTATTTTAAATCATTATATCAAATTTTAATTATATGTTAAAACTAGTTATATTATATTATAAAGCAGAATATTTATTAAGATTTCTGTATTTAATATAATAAAAAGTTATTTAAATTTTAAGGATAACAATTTTCTTATTAAATGTAATAAAAATTATTCAACAAATTGTTTATAATAATTTAATTATTCTTAATATTCTAATTGTAGATCAGATAAATTTCTATTATATAAAATTTTTAGATCTTATAAATTTTTTTCTTAATCTAGTATTTTCTTTATTAATCTTTAATTATAAACTTATATAATATTATTATATTTACAAATATTTTTAATATTATAAATCTAAATTAGCTAATAAAACCTATAACTTTTAAGAATTTTAATATTTCTTTTCAAATAATTGATAAACTTATTCTTAAGATAAGTTTTTCTTATTTGTTTTAATTATCCTATATATTTTATTTTTTAGACTATATTAAAAGTTTTATTAATAATATAATATTAATTAATAAATCTTAATTAAGTTATTTATTTAAATTTTAATTATTATTATAGGAATAATTCAAATTTTCTTTAATATATAAATAGAGATTTTTAGAAAAAATAGAGTTTAAAAGTTGATATTTTTTATTTAGCAAATAATTTCATATAATATAGTATTAGTTTCTTTACAAATTATAAAGTTTCAAAAGTATTTTTAAGATTACTTTTTAAAAATATTAATATTATATATATTTAATATAACTTTTTATTATATAATTTTTGGTTTAATTGATTTAATACTTTAATTTATCTATTTATTTGTATATTAATGTTAATCAGTTAATATTTCTTAATATTATAAGTAAATTCATTATTCTTTTTAGATGATTCTCTTAAAAATAAAGTAGTCATAATTGTTTTGATTTAATTTTTAATTAAATATATAAAAATTATTTCAATTAATAATATTTTTATTTAATAAAATTATAATTTTTTTATATATAATATTAATAAATATTAACTTTTAAAATAAAGTAATAAATTTATTTTAATATGATCTTTTCAATTATTAGTATTTAGAAGTTTTAATTTTAATAAAATTACTATAATTATGAATTTATTTATGAAAAATAAAAGATGATTAAAGATACATTTTTTGTAATAATATTATATTAATTAATAACATTTAAATAAGCTAAAATGGATTATTATTAAAATCTTTTATAATGAATTAGCAAAAAAAGAAAGAATATATCATTTTATTAAGAGTTTAATCTAAAGTATTATACTAATAATATTTGAGGATCTCAAATATGTCTAATATAATTCAGAATGAAACTTTGATTATTTCTTTAATAAAAAGTATAGAAATATTAGTTTTATTTATATAAGTCAAAGATTCTTTAAAATTTTCAAAACTATTTGCGAAAATATTACTTATATTTATTATATAAAGAAATTGAAAGTTTATTAGATATTGAATAATATATTAAACATAATCAGTTTAAAGAATTATGCATTAATTATTAATAAAATAATACTAAAAAATAATTTATTATATTTGATTTAAGATAATCTAAAAATGATCTATTATTAATCTAAATTTAATAAAATACTAAATTAAAAACAATTATAGGTTATCTCAGAATATTATATCTATTTATTCAAATAACTCATTTTTTAATCAATATAGCTCTTTTTATCAAAACTCTTTAAATAAAGCTAAGAAAAATGATTTTTAATAAAATTTATAAGAAATACATATATTTAATAAATATAAAAAATTGTTTGAAAGGTATGTATTAAATAAGTAAGAAATATTATATCATTCCAAAATCTAATTGCTTTTTTCTTCTATGTATTATCTATTATTGCAGAATTATTTTTTTTAGATAATTCAATTCTTCAATTTTTGTAATCAATAATTATTAATTTATTCTTTTATATATGGATACTCCATTTGCTTAACAAATAATAATATATTATATACTTCAAACTCTGATATCAACTTATAAAGATAAAGAGTTACACCAATATAATTTGATTATTACAAGCTATTCATAAATCTGTAATTAAAGAAGAAGTTATAAAAGTAATAGAAATCAATTCCTTAAGTTGTAAAATACTTTTTGATAAGCAATAGAAAGATTTTTTTTATACACTTGATATTTGATATATTAATGTAAGATTAAATTTATATATCATTTTTCAATATCCTGCTTGTTAAAGGTAAGAAATCAGTAACTATCTATTCAGTTGTAATCATTTTTAATTTTTTTTGTTTAGATGCACGATGTGAAATAGTCTTACTAATCATTTTATCAACATGTTATTGGATTTTGTTATTGTCATATTTAAGTTGAATATCATCTGATGCTAAAATATAGTTTTGATCAAAGATGTTGTTTAATTTTACCAGTTCCACCATCATGTTTATATCTCTTTTACATTCAACCACTTCACTCTTTTGAAAGATATTTTGCAAATATCACACCCTCAATCCCAAACGAAACTTGATTTTTTAGTAGAATCAATTGGTTATCCTTATTAACTCAAATTTTTTTTGAATTTGGTTCTTCTGCAGGTTTTCAGTAATTTTTCTTCTGGATTCAAAGTTAGAAAATCCATTTTCCTCTTGGGTTTCAATATCAGAGTCATGATAGTTTTTTTTCCATTTTGAAAAATAATATATGATGCGATCGATCTCTTTTTTTTTCAATATTTATTAGTTTAACATTACACAATAAAGTTTTTTTAATCTTTTTTAGATTTACTTTTTTTTTTTTTTTTATTATTAAAAGTTTTTTTTTTGAAAATATTAAAATCAAATAAAAAAATAAAATTTTTACGGCGTAATTGCATTACTGTACGAAATTGTTAAACCCAATTAGCCACCTAATTTTATTCGGTTAGGCGCTACCATTACACGGAGGTTCAAACACTACCTTTTAACAATATCAAGATTCACGTTTCCAATATTTTGAAGCCATAGAAGAGATGACGGTCATTGATAAAAGATATCACTTTCAATAAAAATATTACGATAAAGGATAGACGCGTTTGGAACTCTTTTCGATATATGATTCGTGTTTTTGCTTCTTTTATGATTATTGTTTAATACCAACTTACAGTATATGGATCTATGCAAGGTTGGAACTGAAGGATGATAAAGTAGAATCGTGTAGCAATTGATTCAGCATTGGTGGATCACTGGAAAATGCGTTCGCGTTTTCTATTTGATTCTGTTGATGATGACATTTTGGTTTGAATTGAACCTTTTGAATCGCCCTATTTATTCATTTATTTATTTTTCTTTTCCCTATTAATGATTTTATATTCATAGATTCCATAAAAGGGGATGTGTTGGTGTATTACGACATCAAGAGTTTCGGCAATTGGCTGAAAAGATTACTCTTAAGGTGTAATGGTTCATAATATTTATGAAAGTATTACTCGATTTGAACTCATAACTTCCAAAGTGGGTCGACAATCGAAATAAGCGGTTTTTTTCTCCTCTTAATAACGTCAAAACTTTCTTAAAATTTACCCAATGAAATAAAATTCCAGTTAATCTAAAAAATTTTCTCATCATCACGTGTACAGAAATGGTTCAAGGGAACTCGCACATCATTATTTGATTTCCTTTTTGCCATCTTCAAAAAGCTGCATCATTGGAAGGTAACCAAATAAATAATAGAGCTCATTCAATCATGTATAAATCATCAAACGTCTTTGATATATAAAAATTTTTTTTTTTTTTATATGTACTGTATATACTGTATTTATATATATATTAATTTTTTTTTTAAAATTTAAAAAAAAAAAAAAAATTACAAGTTTGGATTGGTCTTTTAATATAAATTCCCAATCCTTTTACAGACTCTTTCAATTACTCCCAAATATAGATATAGATAAAAGCTTTACGTCGGAGGGAAGTACATTCGTTCCGAAGATTCCTGTTTACGGATGAAAATGGTAATTATAAATGTTACATAAATGAACTTATTAATAAAGTATTTTAAATGTGAAACCCATGAAGAATAACAAGTATAAATAAAAAAAAAAAAAAATAAAGGAAAGAATTTTCATCACGTACCAAAAGATTATTTAAACAAAGAACCGAACGTTTTTATTTACACGTTGTCAAACCCTAAAAGAAATTCCCATGTTTTTGTGAGACAAAAATTGAAAGTTCTATATATCCCTTTCAATTGTAATAATGGTCAAATATTCGGAATGTCGTAAGATTCTACCACTTTGCATCGGAAATGACCAAGTGACCCAAAATTTGGGTTACATTTGCGTGACTTGTTCAAGAAATTAAAGTTACTTCTACGGGCATTTCCAAGGGTATATAACCATGTTAAACTAATAGGAAGAATGATAAAACATTTAAGGTAACATAAATAGTATAATAAATTTTTAAAATAAAAAATGAAAGGATTACAAGTGATTGACAAATTGGTCATCGACTAACTCGTTTAGGCTTAAAGCGTCTTGCCTTATTATATATTGTAGCATGTAACACCAAAGTCACATGGATTAACAAAAAAAAAAAAGATATAAATAGGGAAGCAATGCTGAAAAATTGTCTCTTCTCCCGTAAAACCATCGAACATACTTGACATCACAAACTGCGCCATTTTATCCTTCTTTAATACATAATTAATCACACTCACTTCTCACCCATAATACTTTCATTGGACGTGTTATAAAATGCCCAAAGATCAGAACATCCTTCACCGGATGACATTACCCTTCCCGCCAAATATAAGCGTTGACGAGTTGTTGGAAAAATCTCGAAGCAATAATTCCCGACCTGGAAAGGTACCAAACTGTTTCCTAATCTATAGGTTGGTTTGGGTGGAACAAATGAAACGAGTTGGAATAAAGTTAGATTTGTCAGAAATTTCTAACTTTGTCGGACATAAATGGAAATGTGAACGAAAAGAGGTAACAGATTATTATAGGAAATTATCTTCCGACGCCAAAACGAAATTTCGAACAAATTCCAAACCACGATTTATATTTCATAACAAATGTGAGTTGAATAACGCCGAGCAACCTCAAGACGATGCTTCTACAGATTCACTTCAAACGCCAGAAGGTGCTTCGCCTGGTGCGAGTTATTTACACTTTCCCATGGATATTAACCAATCCATTTCCGATCAGGATCCCACCATGGATTACTTTGCGGGTCTGACAAATGGAATGTCATTTGAAGCGGATCCTTCCATGCATCAAGGTTGCAGCCTTAAGGAGAGCATCAATGAGATGCTGCGGTTAATTTTCGCCATCACTCCGGAAACCTATAGCAAATTACATAATATGAAAGGTGTGATCACTTCTGAAGAATTGGAGAGAATTAAATTTGTTCTTGAATATAATCGATCGATGATCTCTGAACAATCAAAAAGTTCATCCAAATGTACCTTGCTTAATCACATGTCTGCAATTAAAGCGAGGATGAATCAATTGGAATACGCCACCTCCGATGCTTTCATTGACATTAAAAATAATTTTAATGATTCTCAAATGAGTTTTGGATTTGATCCAACCAGAGAAATGTATGAGTCAACTCCGCAGGACTTGGTTTTCAATGCCGAAGGAAACGTTGACAGATTTACACAATCTGAAGTTTTGCATCAACAAGCGTTATTTACGCCAACTCCTTCCGAACACTTTGACTTTACGGACTCTCAATTTAATCATAATTATCCCTTATTAGTAAATTTCCTGTTTCAGCAGAATAAAATTTTTGTTGAAAAAAACAAAGAATTAGAAGAAAAAAGAAAGGAATACGAAAGAAGAATTGAAAGCTTAGAAGATCGATTTAGATATATTCACAGTATAATCAAAGTTTCGAGGGGGTTGATTTTTGGAAATAATGATATTTTATGACATTCTATTTTATAAAATTTTTATAAATATCAATGTAATATAATATAGTTTTTTGCATGCATTAGCACGCAACCCTTTTTTCCTTTATTAAAATAAACATAAAATACAAAAAAAAAAAGAAAAAAAAAAAAAAAAAAAAAAAATCATATACATATGTGTGCGCGATTTGTATATACAATCTTCATTATTACTTAATAATTTTCTTTTTAATAGGAGTCTCGTCTTTTTTTTTTTTTATTTTGAAAAATAAAATTTTTTTTTTTTTATTGTTTGTAAAACTTGTAAACATGGATATTTTTTTTTTTAAAAAAAAAAAATAATTTAATAAAAGATTTTGTAAACTAATAAATTTCCCTTTATATAATTAAAAGTCCAAATGATTCGGGTGTAATCTAATCAGAACAATATTAAATTCTTAAAAGGTTAAATTAAGAAAATATTACATAACTTTATTTGTAACATTTCGGAAAATGTTAATTTTTTCCGCGACTTATCAAGGAGATTTTCATCGCGTACATGTACTTCTGTGGAACCCAAGGGGGGAATCTTTTAAGTTCATCGGAACAAATGTTCCGCATAAATGAAATCATAATGACTCATCGGAAAAAATCGCTCCCTAAAACATAATTATAAAAAGCTTTGTCCATCAACAAATACCTCGAAGAGTTAAGTCACGAAAATTTGATAAATTAAAAAAAAAAAGCTTAAAAATGTGCATTCATGGACTTTTTTTCTTTTGAACTTCTAAAGTATGAGATTCTTGGAATTTCTTTGTAATAATCATTTCTTTAACTAATGAAATATTATTTACTTAACAAGTTACCTCAAATTATGTATGCACGCACGCACGCACACACACACATTTAAAGCATTTCAATGGGATTACGCCAATTTTCTAAAAAAGCAGAGTAAAAGGTCATTCAAAAAAAGTTGCATAAATTTATTTTTTTTTTTTTTTAAAACATTTTAACATTTGTAATCAAAAATAAATAAATAACAAAAAAATATTTCTTGGCGACTTTTGTGTGCACCCTCCCAAAAAAAGAACTTTGTAAAATGAAAACAAAACCATTAGTAATTTTTTTTTCTAATAACACGTCTCGTGCCTTGATCTTTTTAAGAAGATCAACTATACAATTACTTTACTTCGTCAAGTGTTCAGGTTCGTGCAGCTTTTCATTTGCATGTGACGTCTCAAGCCACAGCACTGTCATTTAATGTGAATTTTTGTAAGAGTTGAATAAAACATTCCCGTGAGGAATGAAATTCTGATATTGAAAATTTATTTTAAGTTTCTCGTTTCAAACTAGAATAGTTTTGGACGTTTTTTAATGAAATAATTTTAATTTATCAAGTTTATTGAAATAAAGTTTATGAAATCATTTTGATTAAAGAAGGATAATTCAGTTGAAATAAATTTAATGGGAAGGGAATTAAAGTTTGGTGAAACTAGTTTGTGAATAAAGTTTTTAATGAATACGCGCATCAAGCCCGCAGTAAATTTCATCATATGACTTAAATTTCAACTTTTAGTTTTAACTAAAGAAAGGAATGACCACCTAGTAAACAAACCATTGGTCTTTCTAAATTGGATCCGGGATTTACCGGAAGGTCCGTGCGATTCCGTAACTTTATCGTTATGGCATTTTGGGTGTCAAATTACCTAAAAAATAAGAATATAAAAGGACGCTTCACCAAAGAAAATTTTCTTCGTGAATTGTAACCTTTTTTTTTTAAAAAAAAAAAAATATAAATATAAAATAAAAAAACTTATATATATATATTCCAAATATCATATATGAACAATCTTGTACAGTTCAGATCAAACCTTCGTCCAACTTATCCACCTCAAATAACAATTCAAGAGATCATTGAATTCATATCATCGACAGTTCCTAGACGATCATTTCAACCAACTAACGCATTTAAGGTATATCGTATAGCAACTATTCTTCAAATGCGAACCAATAACAATGATTTGATGATCCTTTCTGGAAGTTTAGTTTCAACAAATTATTCAATGGAATCTCTTGAAGTCAAACGAACTTATCAAAGGTTAGCTTTAGAAGTGAATAATGAATTGATAACTAGGTAAGTAATTTATTTGTGTATCACTATATCACATGTATCATCAGCTGACTGATACAATGTTGTTTTGACAGGCAAATTCATGCATGACCAAAACTTGTAAATATTCACATGATAAAATGCTTCATTTTAAAACTTCGTATATTTATTTTGTAACTGCGAACTTGATGTACTGTACATTACTAAAAATAAAATTTTTTTGCTTTAACTTTATTGAGAAACTATGGTCCCTTCTTAATGAATACTTTCATAATCGAAAATAATTTTATAACTTTATGTTTCTGAATCTTGGCCTTTATGAATTTGCGAATAAAAGCGACAGGTTTGACTTATATATATAATTCATGGTTAATATATGATTTATTTCAATTATAGATACTGCGGCATAAAGTACAATTTGAAATACTCTCTTACGAAAATCTTTCAATAAAAACATTTAACTTTCAAAGGTATGCTAAGATTTTTTTATTTTCCTTTTTTCCTTTTTTTTTTGTTGTTATTGTAAATCAAAAGAAGTGTAACAAATCGTTTCTTCGGAATCATGATACGAAATCCCTGTATCGAGAATCTCTTGATGTTTTATTTATCGATAACATATTTTTTGAAATTTTCACATCATCTGTTAACAGCAATCATAGTTGGACGAATTTTTTTCATTTTTCTTAATATTCTTTACGTATTGTTAATCTATTGGATGCTGTAGCGACAACTATACCTATTTTATTACGTCATTCTTAAAAAAATTTTATTCATGTGCTTTAAAAAAAAATTTATTTATTTATTTATCATTATCTCTAAGTTCTGGCTTAAAAAAATAAAATCCACAATCATTCGAGCTACTGAATATAATCAATTTTTTAACAATAAAAATTTTGAATTTAATAACCTTGAACTTACGTTTTAAGTTATAAATGTTTTCTTTCTATAGGAACTCTTCGTCAATCAATCTAATAAACAAATAATTAGGCAACGTTAACACAAGAATATCATTATAGCATTTGATCGTGGAGTAATAAAATTTTACTGGAAATGTTCCAATACGACGAGGAGAAATATTGGTTTATTTATTATCTAATGACTATGAAATTTGGAAATACACAATATTTACTCTCTTAAATAATAGTTAAATTCATTATATCCTGCAGATCCTGGATTAACCCCCAATGTGATTTTCTTGTAACGTTCTGATAGATTACCGTTCACATTCAATGATTACGCACAGTTTGAATGTTCCTACACATCTTTTAGAATTAAACTAGAAAAGGATATGTATTAAATCCTATCTATCCATAATTCTAATAAAAAATTAATACATACATACTTTGAAGTAATGCGTCTGACGAAAATTCCTAAGAAAAAATAAATTATTACTTTAGGTCATTACAAACAATATTGGCAAACAATAATGATAAAAATGAATCCATTATTTTTCTTCACTTTGAATATTTAATCACTTAATGATGTAATTACATCAAATTCTCCTTCCGTCTTTATCACAAATCACTTTTCTTTCTCGTTATTGCAGAGTATACGCGCGTCATCATCCATCGAATGTATTATTTCGTCTTATTAATACTTTTTGAACTAAAATTAGATTACTTAGATTTATACAATATAGATTTTTATTAAAAAATAATTTTTTTTTTAAATTATTCGTATATACATCATCAATCTAAACTATACTCACGTAGGAATTAATGAGATTTTTCGTTGAAATGCAATTCGATTAACACATCAAATAAATTATCTCCATTCTTGAGTACCAATTGTATGTAAGTCACGTGAAATTTCTTACATTACTGACATAAAGTGCGTAAAAATAGCTACAAAAAGCCGAGCCCAGCTATACCCATCAAGAAATTAACAATAAATCTCATCTTCTGTTTCGATTCAAACCACTTTGGGAGTTCATCCTTTTAAATATCACCTGACTCCTTCTGTGCTCATTCCAATATTCTGTCTGTAGTGATTACAGCCTTATACAACGTAAAATACGAGATTGCACCAATTTGACATGCAATTTGACGCGTATCTCTGGCTAAGGTCTCTGTTTTGTCGCAAGATTATCCTATTAAAAGGAAGTATTTGAGTCAACAAAAATAAGAAATTTCAATCAAAACATACGGACAACTATAATGATCAAAGCATGAATTATTCATTCACAAAATCAGAAATATGATATGTATGAAGACGTTGATGGTGAATGAGGTTCTAGTAATATTGGTGAAGTTTCCTTTGGTTCGAGTACCAGTGATGTTTTTGGGAATGATGGATAACGTTGAGGACTCGCTGTAGCCAAAAGATGTTTAGTCGAATTGCGGGTGTGACCTAGATGTGGATATGTAAATTTTAAGCAATGTAAAATTACATCTGATGTAAATAACCGAGAAAGTAGATTATTTACTAGTGTATCAATCATCGGGACTTAAATTCTTTCACATTAGTTAAAATCGTTAGCATCAAATTTATCGACTGTAATTTCTGGATATCGATATCGGAAAGAATTTTTTTTCTGGAACATCATTGACTCAAGTACCTTCTACATATTTAGGGAGTCGGAAAGGCGTCGTTCTCTCAAGTTTAATAATTGAAAATTCTTTTTTATTGAAATTTGATGTTGTAGAGTATGGGAAACTGTGCTTAAGTTTGCCTTCGACTAAATGTTCGTGATTCTGAAAGGGCGTTCATACTGCTGCCAGTGTTGGGTTTTGGTCACTAATTATATCCAAATGAACATATATAAGTTTATAAGTTCAATTGGATTGGATAAATGTCTGATGTGTTGTGACTCGCAACGAGTCTGGGAAAGACATTTAAAGAGATGAACAAACCAACAGAACTATCACGTAACAATTACTTTAAAAAATTTACTTATATTATTATGTCTAACTTTGTGACTCTCTTCTCTTGAACGAAGATAAGATCGAACTTAATAACTATATTAAAGTTCATTTACTAAATATATTTAAACAAAAGGCATATCATACATTCCATATATTAATTTAAAAGAATTGTAAATTTTAAATATTAATTGTTTTTATATTATTTTTATAATTAGTTACTTAATAAAATAAATTTAAAATCTTAAATTTAAGATCTAGATTTAGTATATTAAATAAAAAAATAAAATTATAATAATATAAAATTTAAAATCAATAAGATCTATTTGAACTTTTGTTAATTCTAATGATATATGCTGTATTTTTCCTTTCTTTCAATTTTTATAAGAATAAAAGTTATTATTAGTATTGTTAACTAACTTATATTTATTTCTTTTTTTATAAAATAAATTATTTTATTCAATAAAACAAGGTATTAAACAAATATATAAAAAAATATAAATATAATTTATTATATTTTGTTTATTTGACATATGTTTATAACTTTATAATTTATGCTTTTTTTAATATTTTTCATTATATTCATCTATTCTTCTGGTTCATTATTCTTTATAACTGAGAAAAGAACAAAGAAATATTAACAAACTAAAATTAAATTAGTTAATAAAAAGAATTAAATTATTAAAGATCAATTTTATATATTAAAAAAAATTAATTTAATAATAATTTATTTAAAATTATAAATTTTAAGCTAAATTTTCTTAGAATAGATCATTTTTATTTAATAGAAATGTTAAATCCAGTCTAATCTTAGTCTGATTCTGACCACCTAACCTAAAAAGATCTAGTTTATAGAATTTAAGTCTTAGGATTGGATTCTAGGATTAGATTCCAAAACTGCAATCCTAAAACTACAATTTTATAAAAATTAAGACTTGTGGTCTTAGAACTGCATTTTTATAGAAATTAAAACTTAAAATCCTAAGATGTAATTTTATAGAAATTAGAACTTGTGACTCTAGAACTGCAATTCTATAGAATTAGAATTTGCAGTCCTAGGATTACAAATTTAAATAATATATAAAATTCAGTTTACTAAAATATTATAGATAATAAATGTTTTAATTGAATGATAAAAGACTATTATTTATAAATAATAATATATTATTTAACTAGAATGATAAAGAATCATTTAACTTAAATGATAAAATATTTATTTAAGAAGAATAATAAAAAATTGTTCAACTTGAATAATAAAATAATCCTTCTAAAGAATAGTAGGGCAAAATTGGGAGTTCTAAGGTCAAAATCCAAAAATTATCCAGTAAGTTCTCAATAATAGGCCCAAAACCTTTCTAATAATATAAATCCATAATATAGAATTCAGATTTAAAAACTACACAGTGCTCAATTTCGATATCATATTCCTTGCTATAAAATTTAAGCTTCAGAAGCTAAAATCAACCAAATTGATATAACCTTTCTAGCACGATTTTAAACCCACCAAAGATATCAAAAAAATTATACCATTATATTTGCCTTTAAGATGACGCGAGCTTGGCAAGAACCAAAGGTTCGAAGCCAAGCTCGTGGAGTCTTTGCAAACCTTCTATGTATACTAATATTTATGCTATACTGCTTGCCTTTGGGAGTAGCCTCGAATATTGAGGAACGAAGTGACGAAATATATGAGGCTACAACCTTATCAAGCCTAAGATGCATACTAATTTATGAGATATCCTAGAATTAATTCTAAAAAGGATTCATTATCATCT